GAACTTAAAGGAGGTAGCTCAGGAGTAAAACTGACCTGGGTTCAAATCTGACTCTGCAACTTACTAGTTGTATAATCATAAACAAGTCACTTTTATAGCCCTTTATGTATGTATTTTTTCTTTTTTCTTTTTTTTTTGAAACAGTCTCACTCATTCACCCAGGCTGGAATGCAGTGGCACGATCTCAGCTCACTGCAACCTCCACCTCCCACGCTCAAGCAATCTTCCCACCACAACCTTCTAAGTAGCTGGAACTACAGGTACGTGCCAACACACCCAGCTAATTTTTGTGTATTTTGTAGAGACAGGGTTTTGCCATGCTGCCTGGGCTGGTCTTGAACTCTTGAACTCAAGTGATCCACCCACCTCAGCCCCCCAAAGTGCTGGGATTACAGGAGTGAACTGCTGTGCCTGGCCATTTTATAGCCCTTTAAACTTTTTTTCCCCCTTAACTGTACTAGGGAAAGTATTAGTTTCTTCCCCCTTAACTTGTGAGGATCAGATGCAGTGTAAAGTGGCGAAGAATGATGGCTAGCATGGAGTAGGTGGCCAGCAATATACTTTAAAAATGACTCCAGTCCTCTAAGCCTGGCTCATAGGAGACTCATGGGTCATTCCCAGAAATAGAAAAGATAGACAGAGGAGATGGTTAACGAGTAGGAGGTGAATTACATTTTGGTTATGTTGAAATTTTCGTCTGAACAAGATAGTCCAGTAGGAGGTTGCCACAAACTGATATGCATCTAGGAGAGAAGCCAAGGCTGGCTAGAGAGTCAGATCTGGGACCCATCCAACGAGAAATGATAGTTACATTAGTGAGAGCAGAGCCGCTGAGAGTACTGAGGCAGAACAAATGGACTATGGGCAGACATACATTTAAGGGAGAGAAAAATGAGAGAAATAAGCACAGGTGTGGCTAGACAGGTGAGACAAATAGAAACTAGTACAGAAGGGTAGAGAATATTTAGGATGGTTATTTGGTGATTTTAAAGTTTTTGAAGATGTGTTGTTTTGTTGTTATCCTAGAATTGGTGTCATTACTAGAGAAGTTTTATAATAGCCATTAGAAAACTGTAAGCTGCATTTGTGATTTACACGTTAAGTTAAAAGAAATAAAATGTCACTTTTAGAAACTAGAATGACGACACACACACACATATACATGTATGTCATGAGAAATTATAATATTTGAAAAGGGTAGTTGAGAAAATGTTTTCATATGTATAATCTAAAACCTTGCCCTAATTATAGTCCTGGGAGAATATGTAGTGCTGTGCGATGAGGACAGCACACAAAAAAAAGGCTGAATAAGGCAGTCTTGGGTTCAAATCCTGTGACCTTAGAAAAGTTATTCGTGGTTGAGGTGCCTCCATTTTTTCTTCTCTAATATCCCTAAAATCCCACCACTAAATTAATAGTAGCATTTATTGTGTGATAATTAAGTGAGACAATGTATATGAAGTACATTGAACAGGACTCAAAACATAGTAAATGTTACCACACTATTATTGTTTCTGTGTTAGGTGTTGATGATTACCTTTTGCATTCTTTCTTGTGCTTTAGTTTTAACACTAGGTGGCAGCAATGCTCTCTTAACCAATTAAAACGATACTTGCTAATTTTCTGGCGTAGAAGAGATGGGTGAAGCCTTACCTAATAGGAAGATGTGTGTAGGACACCAGCAAAGCAGGGGGAAAAGATGAATAGAGATAGCAATAGAGATACGTATAGAGACATCAACAGAGACAGAGATAGAAATAGAGGGAAGGAGGGAGAGAGAGAGGAAGAAATTGTAGAAAGGATTTGATATGTCAAAAGGATATACTGAAATAGTCATTGTGAGGAAACCAGATCTCTTCTGGATATGCACCTTCTAGAAAATTGTATTATTTTAAAATACATACGGGGAAGTGGCAGATATCATGTATTTTTTTGTGTTGACAATATTAAGGATCTTAAATGGTCCTGGATGGCAAATGTCTGTAAAGTGTAATGTGTTTTACTGTTCAATTTTAGCATTAATCTTAATTATAAAAGTATGACCATTTTCCTTTATATAAGACATTCCTTCTACAATAAGATATTTAGTGGTATGTATTGCTATCTAATGCTATCTATTGTTGTGTAACCATTATCTCAAAAGTTGGTAGCTTAAAATGAGGAAATAATGATTTCTTTTTTTTTTTTTTAAATTGAGACAGGGTCTTATTCTGCCACTCAGGCTGGAGTGCGGTGGTGATCATGGCTCACTGCAGCCTCGACCTCGTGGGCTCAAGGGATCCTCCTGCCTCAGCCTCTGGAGTAGTTGGGGCTACAGGTGTGTGCCAACACATCCAGCTAAGTTTTCTTCTACTTTTTGTAAAGATGGGGTCTCACTATGGTGCCCAGGCTGGTCTTGAACTCCCAGGCTCAAGTGATCCTGTTGTCTCAGCCTCCCATAGTGTTGAGATTACAGGCATGAGCCACTGTGCCCAACTATGATGAACCTTTATTATCCTATATTTTCTGAAAGCCAGGAATGCTGGGGTGACTTAGCTGGGTGGTTCTGGCTCAGCATTTCTCATGAAGTTTCAGTCAAGACCTCAGTTGGGCTAAAGTTATCTGAAGGCTCGACTAGGCCTTGAAGAATCTGCTTCCAAGATGGTACAGTCACATGGTTGGTGGCAAAAGCTACAATTCCATATGAATTTCTCCATAAGGCAGCTTGAGTGTCCTTTCAAATGGCAGCCAGTCTCTCCTAGGGTGAGTGACCCAGGAGAGACTGTAAGAAGGAAACTATAATACTTTTTATGACCTTATCTCAGAAGTCATACACTGTAATGTCCACCATATTTGTTCACAGCGAGTCACACAGGAAATAACTAAATACAATTGTCAGGAATTTTATACATATGCTGGAAATGGAGTTCCTGTATAAATAAATCACAGGCATGACCTCTTCCAGTGTGGCTCTGGACCTATTTCTACATCTATAAAAAGAGATCATGCCATGGAACCATGAGGAACTTCAATTCTAAGGTGACCTGTTCCCTATCTTGATATAACCTCAAATAACTTCTCTGTCTCTGTTTTTTCAAGAAATTGCCTTTCAAATTTTTTAGACCCATTTGTAAGGGCTGTACATTGAGCCTGAACACACACACGTATGCGTGTTTTATATATATATATAAAAAACAGAAATGAAAGTGCCACAAAACAATACCTTCTTACACTTATTTGTGTGATGTACTCTAATTTTATTCGCCATTCTATGCTAACTCATTTTTAAAAATTCAGGCCAAAGGCCAGGCACAGTGGCTCACAGCTGTAATCCCAGCACTTTGGGAGACTGAGGCGGGCGGATCACGAGGTCAGGAGATCGAGACCATCCTGACTAACACGATGAAACCCCATCTCTACCAAAAATACAAAAATTAGCTGGGCTTGGTGGCGGACGCCTGTAGTCCCAGCTACTCGGGAGGCTGAGGCAGAAGAATGGCATGAACCGGGGAGATGGCGCTTGCAGTGAGCTGAGATCCACCACTGCACTCCAGCCTGGGCGACAGAGTGAGACTCCGTCTCAAAAAAATAATAAAAAAATAAAAATTCAGGCCAAAATCTGTAGTACACTGGTCTCACAGTCCATCGAAGGTTTCAACATTCTTTGTGGAAAGAAAACATCCACCCTCACTCCTCGGTGCTCACTTTTCATTGGTGGTAGAGCAGAAATGCTGAAGAGCGAGTGAGTGAGTCCTCACCTTCCAGTTTCTTTCAAAAGCACCTTTGAAAGATGGGTTAGCCCCGCGAGCCTACTCTAATTAGAAGGATCAGAAGTTGCTTGTCAGGTGGAAAGTTTACTGTGTTTATTTTTATTTTTATTTATTTATTTTTTGAGACGGAGTCTCACTGTGTTGCCCAGGCTGGAGTGCAGTGGTGCCAATGGTGCGATCACAGCTCACTGCAACCTCAGCCTCCCAGGTTCAAGCGATTCTCCTGTCTGAGCCTCCTGAATAGCTGCGACTACAGGCACGTGCCACCACACCTGGCTAATTTTTATATTTTTAGTAGAGATAGGGTTTCACCATGTTGGCCAGGCTGGTCTCGAACTCCTTGACCTCGTGATCCGCCCCTCGCGGCCTCCCAACGTGCTGGGATTACAGGCATGAGCCACGCGCCTAGCCCATCCACCGTGCCCGGCCCATCTGTGTTTATTTTTAAAAGTTGGCTTTGGAACTTGCCATGTGACTCTGGGAAGTCCTTTAACCATCCTGAACTCATTCGTCGGCTCCACAACTGGAATAATGAGTAGTATCCCTCTTGCCTATTTCATAAAGTTGTTATTAGGCTCACAATTAGGCACTTATCACGTGGTGAAGAATCTCAGGACAGGATATTTCATCCTCATAACAACCCTCTAAGATATAGAGCATTATCTTTGTTTTATAGATGAATAAATTGATGCTTAGAGCAGTGACATATGTGAAATCTTAAAGTTAAATCTTAAGTGGTAGAGCTAGAATTCCAAACCTATTCTGACATCAAAACCCTCATCCAAAATGGAAATGTAAGCTCGTTTCATTTGACCATAAGGGGTGGCCATCTGATGTATTCAAATGAAGAAATACGCAGTCACCACAGTGTAATAATGACTTTAGAAACTGATGCTGTCTTGCTGTGAACACGAACACCTAAAATATCACACGTGGGCTTTGAGCTCACTGCCTTCGCCCACTGCAGCGTGAGAACGCTGGCAACAGGGCTTCGGTTCCCCAGATGTTAGCAGCCAGGACTGGGTACATTTCTTGAAATGGCGCCCCCAAACAAAGTCCAGATCGCTTGGATGCAGCCCCCTACATTGGAAAGCGGCCTTCCCAGGAAAGGTCTGGCTTACAGCCCTCTCTTTGGCTGGTTGGCTGGGTTCCGAGAGCGCTGCCTGCCTCGGCCCTGTAGCCAGAGAGCTGACCCCGCGGGGGCGCGTCTCCCGGGCCCGGCGTCCCCTCCCTGACGGGTGGGGCGGGCCCCACAAAGCCCTTTATTGAGGCTCTGGCGTGACGCGGGGAGCCCCACACTCGGCGCCCGCCGCGAGCGGGAAGGAGGCGTGTGCCCGCGGCGCGGCCCCGAGGCGTGTGCGCGGCCATGTGCGGTTAGCGCGGCGCGCTCTGTCCTTTCCCCGGCCGCGACGCTCTGGGCCCCTCGAGTCCGGGTAACCAGGCCGCCGGCGCCGGCTCGCTGGGACCCGCCACCCTGGAAGCCCCGCGCCCGCAGCGCGTTCCTGGCGAGTCGGAGGCAGGGTGGGGCTCCGGCGTGGGAAGGAGCCGAGGCTGAGACCGGTCCTTTAGCCGCGGGCTCTGTAGGCGGCCGAGGCCCCCACCCGTCCCGGGAACCGGTTCCTCCCAGGCCCTGCGCGTCCGGGGAAGGGAAGGAGACTCGCCCCGAATTGGCGTGCAAGGGCGGGGCGCGGGAGTGGTGCCGAGAGTTTTGAATGAGGGAAAACCTGGGAAGGATTGTTCTGCTCAAAGTGCCCGGGCTGGGGCGGGTGGTTCTTGTGCAGGCAGAGCCTTTGGTCGCTCAGCACTGCCACGGTCAGACACATTTTGGCGCAGCGGTGTTGGAGCTGGTTTGGCAGGCTCAGGCAGGGGCAGAGAGCGCGACACCGAAACTTTGTCTCAGGATGATGAAACTTACCTGGCATTTTCTTCTTATTCGGTGGCAAGAAATGAAAAAATGAGTTCATGGAAAAATGAAAGAGAACACAGTTTTACATTTGGGGTTCAAGTTCAATGAACACTTATTAAGGACTTTCTGACATTCAGAAAATTTTTTTTCTATTGTTTGGCTACAAAATATTCATGTGAGAAGCATTAATTAGGTGCGTTGCAATCATTTCAGGTAAAGTGAACAGAGTTATCTGTGACATTCCATCAGGCACCTATGTAAGGAAGTCGTACTGTAATAACTCGCCATGGCGTATGGATTGCCAAGAAAGAACACAGTGAAAACCATTTTGCGGGGCAGTTGTTATAATGTGTAAGTGTGTATATATATATATATATATATTTAAAATCAGGGTAAGCATTGACTGGGGTGGGGAGTGTCTTTGTTAAGTAAAATGACTGGACACTATGCTCCTCATGAGATACTGGGCTATATGAAGTATTTTCAGGTGTCTGGGTTCTGAATTTTTTTTTTTTTTTTTTTTTTTAAGGCAACTGCTTTTATAAGTTAATCCCATTCCTGATTATCTTACTTGGTCTTTACAACACAACAACACTTTCAAGTGAGAAAACTGAGGTTCAGAGAAGTTTGATCAAAGTCACAATCCTGTAGTAAGGAAATGTCAGGGCTAGACTCGGGGTCTTCTTGTTCCAAGGCAGCATTTTCTGCTTCCACCCACATCTTTCAAAAAACTTTGTTTAGATGCTCCACGTCTACCAAAAAAATGCCCTGGTGTCAGATGTATCTTAACAGAGCACCTAAGTAGCTGGTAGAAAGGGTCGGTTTTGTATCCTGTATACTTTGGCAGGCAGTGGATGGTTTCCAATCAAGAAGACCTGGACTCTAAGCCTGGCCCTGCCCCCAGTTCCCTAAGGCCACCTTCTTCCTCCTTGATCTCTGCATTTGCAAGATGCATATAACAGTTGGCTATGCGGTGTGGATGATAAATGAAGTCATGTATGTAAAGTGCTTGCACATTGCCTGTCATCCAGTGAATGCATCGTGAGCACGTGTTGCAACCACGCAGTAGTTTCACTCTGTGGTATTGTAGTGCAGTCTTTTCCTTTCTTAAACATTTGATTAGGTGTCAACTGAATTTGTCTTTTAAACAATATTCTATGAAGTAAATGAAGATTCCCTATGGGATTATAAAACCAGAGCTATAGGAAATTCAGAGAAAACTCACTGTTGCATTTTGTTTAGTTTTGTCAGTTTAGTATGTGTTTAGACTTTGAACTATAGACAAGTACCATTATACTAAGTATCATTATAAACATAATTTTTATGTGAAGATACTCCTATTTCTGAGAATGACTTAAAGCACTGATTCCATGGTTTTAGTTATGCAGAATGTTATATCATGAACAATCTCTGTAACACCAGGGCTTTCTCTTTCATTCTCTCAAGATAGTATTTGATATCATACTATTTATAAGAATAGCCAAGTCAAGGGGAACAGAATGGTAGTAGCGCTCTTTAGAATTCATTTGCCAAAGTAACTCCTTACCCGGGGCTTTTTTCTTGATTCAATGTTTTTAAAGGATTGTAAAAACAATACACTAAAAACATCTAGCGTATGAAAGGTAGATAAAAATGATATCTCTCCCCATTCCCATTCCTGATTCCCACTCAGAGGTACAAAGTCTTATATGTTTTCTAGAATTTCTGTGGCTACACAAGACACATACACACATGTATACACACACATGTCTTTTTAACACATGGAATCATATTGAACTTTGCTCTGCCCACCGCCTTCCAATGTATCTTGTATAGCCTAATAGGCAAGAGCACTGATTCTGGAGTCTGACTTCCTGGGTTCAGATCCCAACTTTACAACCAATGGCTTTGTGACCTTGGGCAAATTGTTCTCTGCACCTCAGTCTCCCTCCCTCCCTCCCTCCCTCCCTTCCTTCCTTCCTTCCTTCCTTCCTTCCTTCCTTCCTTCCTTCCTTCCTTCCTTCCTTCCTTCCTTCTTTCCAGACACGGTCTCACTCTGAAGTGTAGGCTGGAATGTTGTGCACCTCCTGGGCTTGAGTGATCCTCCCACCTCAGCCTCCTGAGTAGCTGGGATGACAGGCCCGCACCACAGTGCCCGGTGAATTTATTTTATTTTTGGTAGAGATGGCGTCTCACTTTGTTGCCCAGGCTAGTCTCAAACTCCTGTCCTCAGGTGATCCACTTTGGTCTCCTAAAGTGCTGGAATTACAGGCATGAGCCACCATGCCTAGCTAGAGATCTTTATTTTTTTTATCAAGACAGGGTATCACTCTGTCACCTCAGTGCAGTCTCAGCCTTAGCCTCCTGGGCTCAAGTGATCCTCCTGCTGCAGCCTGTTTTGTAGCTGGAACCACAGGCCTGTGTCACCACATCCGGCTAATTTTTTGATTTTTTATAGAGATGAGATCTCATTACATTGCCTAGGCTGGTCTTGGCCTTCTGGCCCCCAGCGATCCTCCTGCCTCTGCCTCCCACAGTGCTGGGATTATAGGCATGAGCCAGCATGCCCAGCCTACTCCTCAGTTTTCTAATCTGTAAACTGAGGATAGTAGTAGCACCTGCCTCTTTCATATGGTTGTTGTAGTAATTACATGAGTTCATGTGTGTAAATAGATTAAAACAGTGCCTAATAATAAATGCTATATAAACATTAACTGTTTTATTGCTTATCTTTCCAGGTCAACATAATCCTTATTCGTTTATTACATGTTTGTACCGCAGTTTGTTTAATCAGGCTCTTCTTGATAGATATTAAGGTGATTTCCATGGTTTTTTTTTTTTTTTTTTTTTTTTTTGAGACGGAGTTTTGCTCTTGTCACCCAGGCTGAAGTGCAGTGGCGTGATCTCAGCTCACTGCAACCTCTGCCTCCTGGGTTCAAGCGATTCTTCTGCCTCAGCCTCTTGAGTAGCTGGGATTACAAGCACCTGCCACCACGCTCAGCTAAGTTTTGTATTTTTAGTAGTGACAGGGTTTCACCATGTTGGCCAGGCTGGTCTTGAACTCGTGACCTCAGATGATCCACTGGCCTCAGCCTCCCAAAGTGCTGGGATTACAGATGTGAGCCACCGTGCCTGGCCTCCATGTTTTTTTTAAACAAATGACACTTCAACACTTCAATGAACATTCTTATACATTTTGTGACTTGTTCAAGTACATCTATAATAACTGTAGACTCTAAGTCACTCCTGAAAGTTAGATGATAAAGGATCGGGAAGGTGGAACAGGCAAACAAAGGGGTGGCTGGTGTAATATGGTCACTTCCCCTGCTTGGACCAAAGCAGGTCTTTTACTTTCTTCATGCATATGAGGCTGAACTCATATTGACTGCAGATGAGAAACATTTAGCTGATATTTTTAAATTTCAGAATTAGGTGAAAGAGAACAATTTTTAAAGGTTCATAGTGGTTATTTTGACTTTGTAGTTTGGAATTTCATCCCCATTCCCAGATGGCACACTCAAAACCTTAGTCTGTGCCAAGCACCCTGCTCAATGTATGCTTATGCCCTTCTTTCCTTCTTTAATATGACCACATTTTTATGAGCTATAAAAGACTCTGGAGCTTACAGTTCTTATCTACATCCTCTTACATGGGAAGACTGGATTGACTTCATGGAGGCTGAATCAAAGTTCCTGGTGTAATTTCTGGTCATTGTTCAGTATTATCTCTATATTAGTTAATATAAATCTCCCTCTTCTGTCTGGAATTACAACTCTGGAAAATTCTGAACAGCCCCCCCACCCCATAAACCAAAATGTCTAGTGGCAGATGGAACCGAGAATTAATGTCTTCTACATCTCACATAGTAGGTGCTTAATCAACATTTATTGAATTATTAATGAATTTTTGCCCCAGACAGGAACCTTGGGATCTTGCACTGCTTGCAAAGAACTGGTACACAAACCTAGCCAATATCAAGTTGCCTTTCTTGGAAGAAATTTCATTTGGTGGTTCTGTGCAGCTCACAAAATGTAACACCATTAAAGATGGACTGCTCCTTTCTGCAGAATGTAAGTTGCTTAAGTTCTGCTTTAATAAGTTATAAATGGTGTGTGTCATTTGCTTATCAGAGAAATGTTTAAATCTGTGTATTTACACCCATACCTCCTATCTTTGTAGCTCTGTCATCTTGTTTATTATTCAAGCATATGGATTTTGCTATATGATATTCAGTTTTGATTTAGTTATGCCTGATGAAAAATGTATGTCAGATTGTTTTGTGTATTTTCTTTTTCAGCCATCAAACTCGAAAGGGAGTATGAAGTGAAGCGTCTTTGTAAACTGAAATGTCAAGAAAATACATCTGAGGAAATTAAGCTTCTCCTGAGGGAAAGGCCAGCCGGTTTGAGAAGACCTCTTCCATCTAAATGACAGTCAGCTCATGACTGAATCTGTACTCTGTCTCTTGCATCCAAAGGGGATGAAGGTCCCTGGACATTTCACTGTGTAAAGTTCGGGGCAGATATTTGAATGCCCACTGGTGGATGGGCCACTGCCCACAACTGTGGGTTAATGGCCAGCTCTGACAGATCTTCTGAGTCCCTGACATACTCTTTCTTGTTCCTTGTATCACAAGCTACAGCACTGTAAGTAGATGAAAATGCATTTGGAGTTGAGTCGTTTGTGCTATTCATTTTAATTTTTGTAAAATTGAACTAAAAGAAGAGGAAATTTCTTCAGCTGCATTGTTTTCAAAAGGCATCTTGAATATGCATCTTTGAGATCCCAAGGAGGGCCCAAAAAGAAGGCAAGAGAGAAATTCTCTTAAAAATGATAAACTGAAGCATTTCATTTGGTTAAGAAAAATGATAGACTTCATTTTTAGTACTTCTCTAGTTTCCAATTTCAATGAAACATCATTGAATGTTCACATGTGGTACTTTAAAGTAGCAAGTAGGACTGACTTTGTTTTTGTTCTCGTAGAAAAATTGTCAGGCTGGAGGTGATGGCTCATGCTTATAATCTCAGTACTTTGGGAGGCTGAGGTGGGAGACTCGCTTGGGCCCAGGAGTTTGGGACCAGCCTGGTCTCTACAAAAAATTAAAAAATTAGCTGAGCGTGGTGCTGTGCCTATAGTCCCAGCTACTTGGGAGGCTGAGATGGGAGGATCTCTTGAGCCCAGGAGTTTGAGGCTGCATTGAGCTGTGATCATGCCACTGCACTCCAGCTTGGAGGGCAGAGTGAGAACGTGTCTCAAAAAACAAAAACAAAAAAAGTCAATCTTTTTCCTTCTGCCTAATTTCTTATTTTCTATCTGGAATGACCCCGAAGCATATGGAACACACATAGTTATGTGAAAGTGACATGAAAATACACAGAAGGTCTTATGAGAAAAACATAGACTGGAGGATGGGGAATTGATTAACTGGAAAGTATTGGATTTGGATGAACTAATTCTTCTAGCATTTGAACCAATAAAGCATACTTGGATATTAATGTTACTTTTGAGCACAGTGTAGTGTTTTTTAGATGATTTAGTAGGCATTTTAGGATCTTCTGGTATTTTCTTTTTCCCAGCCAGGCTGGAGTGGAAGTTTCACTGTAACCTCTGCCTCCTGGGTTCAAACAATTCTCGTGCCTCAGTATCCCAAGTGGCTGGGACTACAGGCGTGCACCACCACACCTAGCTAATTTTTGTATTTTTTAGTAGAGACGGGATTTCACCATATTGGCCAGGGTGGTCTTGAACTTCTGACCTCAAGTGATCTGCCCACCTTGGCTTCCCAAAGTGCTGGGATTACAGGTGTGAGCCACCGTGCCTGGCTGATCTTCTAGTATCTTAGCTTCATTTCATTATGAAAGGCACTGTGGCATACTGTGCAAGAGTATAGACTTTAGACCTGGGTGCCTTTCTTCAAATCCTAGCTCAGCTGCTTGTTGCTGTGTGAGCTGGGATAAGTTACCTTGTTTCTGCTTGTTTTCTCATTTGTAAAATCGGGGTAATACAGGTATACGTACTTCACAGGATTAAATGAAAACTGCCAGGCACACAATGAGAATTACTCTGGTGTTAGCCATTACTGTGAGTATCACTATCATTATAATCTAGGTATAATCTATATTGGGCTGACTCTCTTGACCTTTGTACAGACCAGAAGTCTTGAAATTTAAAAAATTTGGTTTTATTCTTCTTACAATATATATGTACTACTTGCCAGACCATCTGACCTGAATTTTTAGTTCAAATTAAGGCCGCTGTACCTATGGCAAATCCTGATCATTTCTCTTTAAAAGTCATCATCCCTGATAATCAACTTGTCATTTATGTCTTTCTCTTAAAAGTAGCATGGAGAATTTGTGTGCAAAAATGTCACATCCTGATGTCCCCACTGTGTAACCCAGGAGCATAGATATCATTTTGTGGTCTGCCCTCTGGAGCCACCAGGGAGCCCTAAGCATGTCATACCTCACTTCACAACCTGGCACTTTCAGTTAGTGGCATTAATTGGGAGTATAAGTAATATGCTTCCATCTGTTGTCCAAAAGACCTTCAGGATGGCTAAATAGTAGAAAGGAGAGTTTTACTGGTGATGTCAGTTAGCGAACTGGGAAGAGAGTCTCTGGAGTGGACTGAAGGTGCTCTTTCTTCGAAGAGGGAAAGCGCAGGCTGGGTTTTAGGCCTCCCAGGGCCTGTATCACGCAATAAAGTAATACGTATTCGGCAGGTTTTGGGGCAAAAGCTATACATATGTATGAAGGTAGTCAAGCACATGTACAATGGGCAAACATATATGTAACGTACTTCCCATGTTCACTATGGGATGGGGTTTTAGCATTAAAATAAGGTGGAGTTTGGCTCTATGTCAAAAGTGAACTACAGGGCACAAAGACAGTTCATGAGCAGCCTCTATAAGCTGGCAGAAACTGCCTTAAGGTCTGCAGTTGCTTTTCGTAAAAGAAGGTTTGTAAGGCTGGTCCTGTGTTGAATCAGAGTTGCAGTGGTCTGGGATGTAAATCAGGGTCAGGAGGGCTGTGATAGCACCCGTTGGTATGGAGTTTAGCAAGAGTGTAGTTTTTCTTCTAGGGGTAAGAATTTAGAAAGTTGTCATGCAACTGAGCCCTGAGCCCCTTGATGCTATAGTAAGTTTTATTTCCTTAACCTTATGGACCATCTTAGTTGATAAAGAGGCATCTGTTTTGATCTCTCAGATCACATATTCTTTTTCATAACATTGAAAATGAATGAAACATGTATCTGTTTGTAAAAAGTTTGCCAGAACAAAATATTTTAATGTTCCTTGAGAAAAGATGGAATTTGAGAAAGCTTTAGTTCTTCATGATTTTCTTGAGAGAAGAGTCCTGCTTCTAGCTTTAAGATTCTGTTAATCATGATTTTAGGCAGATGTTTCTGAGCCTCTGAAAACTGCACATATTGAAATAAAATCACATTGCAAAATTGAGTAATATGTGTATATGTCTCTCTCTCTTGAAATGCCCTAACAGCAGTAAAGGAACGCTTTCTTATGTTAGTGTTCCAATGCCTAACTTATATAGTTACTCAATAGACATTCATTGATGAAACATTTTCAGGGCTGAGCATGGTGGTTCACGCCTATAATCCCAGTACTTTGGGAGGCTGAGACGGGTGGATCACCTGAGGTCAGGAGTTCAAGACCAACCTGGCCAACATGGTGAAACCCCATCTCTACTAAAACTACAAAAAATTAGCCAGGCATGGTGGCATGTACCTGTAATCCCAGCTAGTCGGGAGGCTGAGGCAGGAGGAGAATCACTTGAACCCAGGAGGTGGAGGTTGCAGTGAGCTGAGATCACACCATTGTACTCCAACCTGGGAAACAAGAGTGAAACTGCTTCTCAAAAAAAAAAAAAAAAAAAAAAAAAAAAAAAAAAATCAGATGGTGAAATAGAATGCACTTGATAGTTGCTTTCTTATTTTTTATTTTTTTAATTAAAAAAATTTTTTAGAGACAGAGTCTGGCTCTGTTGCCCAGGCTGGGATGCACTAGTATGATCATTGCTCACTTCAACTTTGAACTCCTAAACTCAAGCAATCCCAGCTACTTGGGACTATAGCTGCTTATGATCCCACCATGCATGGCTAATTTTTTTTGGTATTCTTTGTATGATAGGATACTTTTTTAAAATCAGGAGATAGCCATGATATGACCGAATATGGGACTAAAACAGTTCAAGCCAAAGGTCAGAATGAACAAATATACCATTTTTACATAAAACATTTTAGAGTTATAACAATTTAATTAAAACTGATAACAATTCAACTTCAGTGGCATACAAAAATTCTAGTTCTTTACCTCTCCACTTTCCCCCACTTTGGCATTGATGTTAGAAATTATATCTTTCTATATTGTATATTCATTAATATAATTTATAGTTATTTTTTATGCTTTTGTTTTTTAGATTCTATGCCAAACTTAAAAGTGATCTACACAACAACATTACACTACTTACAATATTATAGAATTATATATATATACACAATTTTTTTTTTATTTTTTTGAGACGGAATCTCACTCTGTTGCCCAGGGGAGTCAAGTGGTATGATCTCGGCTCACTGCAACCTCCACCTCCTGGGTTTATGCACTTTTCCTGCCTCAGCTTCCTGAGTAGCTGGGATTACAAGCATGCGCCACCATGCCCAGCTAATTTTAGTAGAGACAGGATTTTGCCATGTTGACCAGGCTTGTCTCGAACTCCTGACCTCAGGTGATCTGCCTGCCTTGGCCTCCCAAAGTGCTAGGACTACAGGTGTGAGCCACTGCACCTGGCCTAATTCTATATTTTATCTACATATTTACCTTTACCAGAGAGTTTTATATTTTTCTATGGTTTTGTGTTGCTGGCTAATGTCTTTTTGTTTCAACTTGAAGGAGTGTCTTTAGTATTTCTTGTAGGGGAAGGCCTAGTGGTAATGAACCTCCTCAGCTTTTGTTTATCTGGGAAAGTTTTAATTTTTTTAAATTTTTGAAGGACAGTTTTGCCAGAAATACTGTTGTTGGTTTGCAGCTTTTTCCATTTTAGCACTTTGAATGTATTACTTCACTCCCTTCTGGCCTGGAGGTTTCTTTTACTTGAGAAAGAGTCTCGCTCCGTCACCCAGGCTGGTGTGCAGTGGCGCAATCTCGGCTTACTGCAACCTCTGCCTCCTGGGCTCAAGCAGTTCTCCTGCCTCATGCTCCTGAGTAGGACCACCATGCCTGGCTGATTTTTGTATTTTTAGTAGAGACGGGGTTTTACCATGTTGGCCAGGCTGGTCTCAAACTCCTCACCTCAAGTGATCCGCTCACCTTGGCCTCCCAAGGTGCTAGGAGTATTGGTGTGAGACACCACACCTGGCCCTGGCCTGCAGGGCTTCTGCTCAAAAATCTGCTGGTAGGCTGGACTCGGTGGTTCATACCTGTAATCCCAGAACTTTGGGAGGCCAAGGTGGGAGGATTGCTTGAGACCAGGAGTTTAGAACAATTTGAGCAATATAGTGAGACCTCGTCTCTACAAAAATTAAAAAGAAAATTATCCAGGCATGGTTGTGTGTGCCTGTAGTCACAGTTACTCCAGAGGCTGAGGCAGGAGGATTGCTTGAGCCCAGGAGTTCAAGGCTGCAGTGAGCTATGATCATGCCATT